GCAAGTTTCCCCCGACGGGGCGCCCCCCCCCCCCCGCCTTCTAGGTCTGCCCTGTCCATGGGGGGCTGCCCCTGAGGTCCCCGGCCGGGCCGGGGTCTGCCCCTCCCCCCGCGCTGCTCCCCTGTCACTGGGGGGGGGCCCTGCAGGCTGGTGCTGAGGCCCCGCCGCAGCCGAGTTATCGCAGCTCCGCTGAGAAATAAGCGCTGCTCGTTCCGGGCAAAAGGCTGGACAACAGGTGCCCTGGGTCCCCATCCAGGCTCTCCCACTAGGAGACCGCGCTGCCCGGAATACTCGGCGTCCACTTGTGTCCCCCAGGGATATTTGAGACGTTTTGGTGGGTTACGCAGAAATGTACCAAAGTAGGTGGTGGGTTTATGGGGGAAGATTTAAAATACGGAGGCTTTTCTCTCCTAGCTTCTAATGAAATGATCTCGGGCTCTGAAATGCAAACAGCAACAATCTTTTGAATTTCCTTCAGTTTTTCGTTAGGTAAGTTTATGAATAGGTAGGTTCTCATGATAAAATAGCAGGGGACTGGATTCTGACCCAGAAAGCCCTGTCCTCCTATAATTAAACAAAAAGGCTGAGGGTTTATTAGCTTTCTCTTGCATGCCTTTGGATATATGTACAACAGCTTTTGATCCACAGCCTTGATTTACAAGATCAGCCTGGTAAAATGTATTTTATAATGTAGTTTCTGAGGCCCCAGTCCCAGCTCCATTGTGTCAGGTGCTGTACACATCACAATTGCTCTGCCCTAGAAAAATTTACTCTCTGTTTGTGGATGTAACTGCATGTGATGACAGACTTCTCTTGTCTCTGAGATTCAGGATACAGCATTCAGATGAGAGTTCTCATGTACTGCAGTACATAAAAAGTACTATAAAAAAACAGCTGGAGATGGGATGCTATGCTGTGTGACACCCAGGGTATTTCATGTACTCTGTTGGGCAGGTGTGATTTTAAAATAAAAGTAGCTGCCACCTTGATATACTGACCCTAATATAAAAAAGTTGGCCCCTAATCCTGTCTGGTATCAGATGCTGTGAAATCAGCCCTCTCTGCTTTGGTTTTGACTAATATAAAATGAGTGACTACTAGTTTGTTTTGATTATGTTTTAATTTCATTAGGACTTTGATCTCAAATCAAGTCAGCTCCTCTAGCTGTGATCTGGCCCACGGTGACTTTGAAGATTTTGGATCTTACAGGTAAAGCTGAGCCTTTTTGAACAAACAATCTCTGTTGAAGGGTCTGATGAGGCAAAAGAGAGCTGGATGATAAATGCATACATGCACCAAGCATTCAGTTATTGGATTGTAGCTGATAGGAATGTTAAATATCAGTTAATTACATAGTCGATTAACCTCATGAATTCTTATCGGTTACTTGACTATTTTATAGCCCCTGGGGTTGGGGCTGGTAGCCAGTGCACTCTGGCCCCACTCCCGATGAGCCCCATGCCACTCCAAACTGCTGCCTCTTTATCAGACGCAGTAGCACTGGGTGCCAGGTGGGAGTTAGTTTGCAAGGGGAGCCAGTTTAAAAAGCAGCTGCCTGTTGTCCCACACTCTTGCCTCTGATACGGAGGCAGC